AAATCAAAAATTACCAGATAAAATTTAAGATTAAAGTTGTATTATTCTCAAAAGAGAAAGCTTTAGATAAGAAATAAAAAAAAATAATCTGAACTAAATATTTAGTTAAAAAAGATTAGACCTTATCTAATAAAAATAATCATAAATATAGGATGAACAAAAATATGTATTTAATATCCATGAAAGAGATGAGTAATAGAAATATTTTGATATCTATAAAATATTCTAAATCTTTACTTATGGGTTCATAGATCCTTTTTTTCTCAAAAGATAAGTTGAATGGCAGCAACTTGGAAATAGAAAACGATATAAATAATATGACTACTTACATTAAGTAGCAGCCTAAACCAAAACAAGATTAGAAATATTTAACTTAAAAAATAAGTAGTCATACATTTATGGAAAAAAATTTTAAATAACACTTTATCTGACTCAGAAAAATCATTCATTTAAAATAAGTAATTCGTATTACATAAAATAAACCAGTTAGAATATACATAATTATTAAACAAAATAACTTTATTAAGGAAAATAAAAATCAAAGGTAAAGGTGAAAGGGCATCATTAAAATATTGTAGTTTAATAAGACGATTTTGTAAATAAGGATAAAAGCGAAGTTAGTCATCAAATAACCAATAACAAATAAAATATGAGTAATTAAGATTAACTAATCTCTTTAAATTCATTATAAATTAATGTACAGAATTAAGTTAATCCAAATAATAATATTCAATTGATAACTCAAAAATCTAAAAATGACATAAATTAAGAAAATAAATATAGTTGCGAGTGTTGCCAAACTGGCCCATATAAAAATATTCAATCTTATAAATAACATATATATTAAAAGCATCAAGGTTCGACCCCAAAATAAAATAAATTTACGAAATTGGGCTTACACAATGGGAGTAATCATTAGTAATAATGTTACTGATAATCCCATTTAAATTTAACATAATAATAATAATAACATTTATATTAATCAATTTCAGTGTAATACTGAAAATATAAATTAACTTTCATCAAATTAATAATTAATAATATGTAGTTGGAATGTCTCCTCAATAAAATCCACTACATTAGATTTAATAAAAATTAACAATCCACACATAATATGTTTATAAGAAACAAGATAGCAGATTAAATCAACTCCTTTATATAACTATTTTAATAAAATTAGATAGACTAAAGAACATGGAGGTGGTATATCAATCGGAATTCATAAATAATTTATAAGTCGTGATATTAGCCATATTCTTCCAATTTTACCTTAAGATTTGGAAATATTATTAATTTAAAGCATATGCTAATAAATTGAAGTTATAACCCTTAATATCTACTCTCCTAAATCTTCAATAATTTAAAAATCATTCATAATTTTATAATAATTTTTAATTAAATTATTAGGATAAAAAAGCAAATCAATAATTATAATATGTGGCGATTTCAATACTAGATCACTTATCTTTCCTAATTTCAAGGATATGATACCAGAAAACTAAATCACTTATAAAAGAAATATAAAAGGAAATATAAGAGTTAGTAAAACAGATACAATGTAAATAGATAAACAAATATAGGCTATTTGTTATAGTGAATTCTATTCGGAATCTGATCATTCCTTAAATACTTTAAAAATTGAAATTACTAAAAGACATAAGAGCCATTTATAATATTAATTCAACATTATAAAAAAAAATGTTCTATTATTGAATTTAAAAAGCAAAACAGCTTCCTCTTTAGCAGAGTTCATCACATAAATATAGAATAATTATCATTTATTTTAATGTTATAAAAGGAAAATATTAGGTTTAGAATCGATAAAATATAAAAGTAAAAGTACTTTTGTTTAAATATTAAATAAAATTGAAAAATTACTTCGGTCTGATAGTTCTAAATTATCCCATTACCTTATTAAAAAATTAATTATTGTTCATCCTTAAAAAAGAGAAGGAGGGATCATGAATTGCTACCTTAAAAATGATGAGCTTATAACCAATTTAAACTTAGTTAATAATAATGTTATTGAATAATTAGGAATGATATAATCTCTATCTAAATTTAGTCCAAAAAAATTACCAAATTTGCCACCCATAAATATTGACTAATTTAGACTATTAAAATAAAAAATCTCATCTAATAAAGCATTAACTGATGTTCTAATATCTGACACATTTATTAAAAAATTTGGATCCTTTGAAATTTTTAATAATATTTGGAATCAAGATATATTGCATTTAATACCTAATTTTGCTTAATTTAAGATAATACCTCTAAATAAAGTATATCCAAATATTCCATAAAAAAATGAATTTAGACCCATTATTCTATTAAGCCCAATATATAAGTTACTTGAATTAAGATTTGAATAGAAATTAAGTGATTATTGCTCCCATTAGATAATAAAAGAATAATTTGGATTTATTAAAGGATATGGAACTTAACCATAAATATATAAACTAATTTAAACAATTAAAGCTTTTAAAAGATCTTAAAATAAAGTTATTTTATTCGTTGATTTTAAATCAGCATATAACACAGCCAATTTAGAAATATTGTTTCGATACATGAGGATCAATTCAATACTTGATTAATAAGAATAAGATTTTTTAGAGGCATTAATTTCTCATTAATATACAATCTTCAATAATTAGAAAATTAGTTTTAAAAATGGAGTACCTTAAGGCAGTATTCTATCACCGTTTTTATTTAATATTTATTCCGATTTATTAATGAAAACTCTGAAAACTTAAAATATATTAAAATTTGTTGATACCTTTTTTCTTTATGCTGATGATTTAGCTTTTATATGTTCAAAAAATCATAGTGAATAACTAATAAATGACCTATATAAAGTAACTTAATTATTAAATTTAATTATTAATCCATCTAAATGTGGAATAATAAAAATAAAAGATGAGAAAAATTATAATGGCTCTTAATAGTTTTTATTAAATATACCAATATTAAAGTAATATAAATATCTAGGAGTAATTATCGATGGTAAAGGATCAATTAAAGCTCACTTAGAATAAATTTAAAAAAGAATGAAATACCTTAAATATGAATTTTAAAAAATCTCTAATAATTATTAAATAGGTAATTAATTTTTATTATGGACACTTTATATTAAACCTTATTTTTCTTATATTCAACCATTAATAAATCTGTAAAGTAAGACAATTTAGAAATAGATAAAACAACTTTTTAAATAGTCTATCAAACAATGGTTAAAACTACCGAAAATAACACCCGACTGTTTTATATAGAGATTAACTTCAACTTTTGAATAATTATGTACAGTGTCAGAATAAAGAATTTAAAAGCTACTAAAAAAACGCTTTAATCCTGAATTAATTCAATAAGATAACTTATAATAGAAAAAAATTAAGATTAATATCTCAAGTATTTTAAACTTACCTTAGAATATTCGTTAAGCCTTTTTATTACCCATAAGATACTGTTCAATACATAAGCAATAGTTCTCATATGAACATTAAAAAAATTACCATAATACTCAATTAATGGAGGAGATTAATTAAGTATTAGAAAAAGAATACGATATAAATTTGCAAAGATAACTTCATATAAAAATTCAAACTTTACTTGAAATTGCTGGAGAATTTATATTTTAGAAAAAATGATGAAAGTTAATAATTTGATTTGTTTGTTTGTTTGTT